GGGCCTTCCGGGACTGCGGTGCCCTGGAGCGCCTCCTGCTCAACGACAACAGGCTGGCCGAGCTGCCCGCCGACGCCTTCAGCGGCCTGCGCCGCCTGCAGACGCTCAACCTAGGGGGCAACTGGCTGGGCCGCGTGGCGCGCACCTGGTTCGCCAGCCTGGCCGAGCTGGAGCTGCTCTACCTGGATCGCAACCGCATCGCCTTCGTGGAGGAGGGCGCCTTCCGGAACCTCTCGGGCCTCCTTGCCCTGCATCTCAACGGCAACCGCCTCACCGTGCTCACCTGGGCCGCCTTCCAGCCTGGCGTCTTCCTGGGCCGCCTCTTTCTCTTCCGCAACCCGTGGCGCTGTGACTGCAGCCTGGAGTGGCTGCAGGACTGGATGGACAGCTCCGGGCAAGTCGCTGACGTGCTGTGTGCCTCTCCGGGCTCAGTGGCCGGCCTGGACCTCAGCCAGGTGGTCTTTGGGCGTTTCTCCGATGGTCTCTGTGTGGACCCTGAGGAGCTGAACCTCACTGGATCCAGCCCAGGCCCGTCCCCAGAGCCCGTGGCCACCACCGTGAGCAGGTTCAGCAGCCTCCTCTCCAAGTTGCTGGCGCCGAGGGCCCCAGTGGGGGAGGCGGGTAACACCACCCGCGGGCCGGTCAATGCCTCGCTGTCTGACAGCCTTTCCTCGGGTGGGGTGGGAGGTTCAGGCCACAACACCCTGTTTCTAGTGGGCTCTGGTCTCCTGCTCAGTGTGGTCCAGCACGTGGTGTTTGCCCTACAGACATACCGACCCTGCCACACTGGGGTGACCCAGACTGCCTTGGCCAGTGGGGGATAATTTACTTAATTGGGCTGGAACGTGTTTGTGGTGGGGGGAGAGGGGAACAGGATGGGAGTGGGAGGTGAAATTCCAGCAGAGGTGGCAGTTTGCTTCTAGAGATGGCCCCTGGAAGAGGACAACCCTGAGAAATGTCACATGGTGGGTGGGGGTGGGGAATGGATTTCTGTTCATGTCACATGGGCATCAATTGGAAAAGAGAAATAAGAATGAACGTGGGACCCTCCCACTTGAAGGCTAAGCGTTGGAAGCTCTAGGGCCTCAGAGCTCCACCTCCATCCCTCCCCTCATCCTTGTCTTCCAGGAAAGGGACTGCAATGCCTGAATCAGAGTCAGTCCATTGGCAAAGTATTAAGAACTGTGCCAATTCTCCTGGTGGGGCAATCCATCAGGCCCAATTCCTTTGTTTTCTACCACAATCCTCTTCCCTCTGGGCCTGGGGACACTAGGGTGTGGGAATATGGACAGGACAAGAGAGAAGGGGGATGGGAGAAGGACTTAGACCTAAGGGGTGGTGGCAGTTCCTGGAGTGTGAGATGCCTTAGGAGGCAGTTAAAACAAAGATCCAGCCCTCGCAGGTGTGGCTTAGTTGGTTGGGTGTCCTCTGGTGCAAGAAGGGTTATAGGCCAGATCCCCGACAGGGAGCGTGCAGGGGGCAGGCGATCCATGTCTTGCTCTCACATCGATGTTTCTTTCTCTCTCCTTCTCCCTTTCTCTGTCTCTCAAAATCAATAAAAAATCTTTAAAAAAAAAAGAAAAAGAAATAAAACAAAGATCCATTTTATGTGCTCCACAATTATCCCCAGGGGTGGCCTTAGACAGAAAGGAACTTCAGAGCAGGTTAGGGGGAAAAAGAGGGGGAAGTGTCTGTGGACAAATAAATTTGTAAAATCTTAAGATTAAAAAAGAAGTTAGCAGGTTTTTCGACCGCAGGACTTTTCAGAGTCTTTCATATACAAACATGCACTGTGAATCCTTTGGGCAGGCCATACAATCTTCTTTTCTTACTGTTTTGTGGGAAGAGTGTCCAGAAGACACTGAAATGCTGTATTAGCAGGGCAGGAGTCTCCAGCTTGGATGATGTGGAATATGGGCTGCACACTTGGGGGCTGACTAATGGCCAAGAGGAAAGAAGGCAGCCAGTAGCTGGGAAGGGGGCTGAGATATTTCCCAGGGAGGGTGTTGGCCAACTGTAAGCCCCCAGGCCTGAGTGTCACAGCAAAGGCTGTATGTCTGCTAAATACTTGCTCAAGCTGTTCTCCATACGCAGGCAATGATGACTGCATTTGTCAACATTCTGGAAATCCCTAATCTTAGTGTCCTGAGCTCCTCTCTTTGTATTTGAAGAGGTAGGTTTTCTTTTATCTTTTTATTTTTTTAAATCTTTAAAGAAGTTTCTACTGAGATATCACCCAGATAAATGAGACGATATCATAGATATTTTAGAAAGGGAAGCACCTATTACAAATATCTGTATTTGCACAACAGATGAATACTCAAAACTGCATGAACAATTGTGCATGTACCCTACTAAAGTATGTATGTGTATATATACATTCATATATATTTTTGAATTCTGTAAATATACTAGCCCAAGGAACAGGAAGTAGTTATAAGTATGGAACAAAGAAACTCAACGTGGGCCCGGCTGGCGTGGCTCATCTGTTGAGCATCGACCTATGATCCAGGCAATCAAGGTTCGATTCCCAGTCAGGTTGTGGGCTCGATCCCCAGTAGGAGGCGTGCAGGAGGCAGCCAATCAATGACTCTCATTGATGTTTTTCTCTCTCTCCCTCTCCCTGAAATCAATAAAGACATATTAAAATAAAAAAGAAAGAAACTCAAGGTGCATTTCTTTCATTCAACTTTTCCTTTGGAAAAACTTAAAAATTAGTATAGATCCCTAGCCAGTTTGGCTCAGTGGTTAGAGCATCAAACCGCAGACTGAAGGGTCCCAGGTGCTATTCTGGCCAAGGGCATGTACCTTGGTTGCAGGCTCGATCAGATCCCGACCCTGATCTGGGCGTGTGCAGAAGGCAACCAATCCATGTGTCTCTCTCACATCGATGTTTCTCTCTCTCTCCCTTCGCTCTCTGAAAAGCAATGGAAAAAATATCCTTGGGTGAAGATTACAAAAAATAAATAAATAATAACAAAAATTAGTATAGATGTGACTCCTGTGTGCTCCTTAATTTCATTTTTAGGCCAATGGGAAATATATTTTCTACTATTGTTAGGAAAGGAGGTGGATTTTCAAAGCCCACACAGATTCAAGGTGTATCAAGTTGTCAATTATTCATGGTGACAGTACTTTTGTGTCTCTAGGTAATAGTAAATATTAGGAATGCTGCAGAAAGCATCACTGAAGGCCGGAGTGTCCAAACAGGTTGTGACCATTAATGGTCATCAATTCAATGTAATGGGTCATAACCAGCATTTAAAAAAACAAGATAGAGCCCTGGTTGGTGTGGCTCAGTTGGTTGGGTGTCGGGGTTCACTGGAGGGTTGCTGGTTTGATTCCCAGTCAGGGCTCCATCCCCATAGGAGATGTGAAGGAGGCAGCCAATGGATGGTTCACTCTTGCATTGATGTTTCTCTCTCTCCCTCTCCCTTCCTCTCTCTCTAAAAATCAATAAAAAAATATTTTAAAAAAAGTAAATAAAATATAAAAAAACAAGATAGAACCTCTCTCTCTCTCTAAAAATCAATAAAAAATATTTTTTAAAATATTAACTAAAATATTTTAAAAACCCAAGATAGAATGCAAAAGTCACAGAGCATCACATGTAATATTATAAGAGTAAGTATTGTTTTGTGAAACTTTTTATTTAATTTGTATGCATTTGTTAAGATTATATATGTATGTGTCTGGATCACTTCATACAGTCTATATTTTATTGTGGGTTAGCATTAAAAATGTTTAAAGTCACTAATGTTAAGGTAAGAAATCATTCAAACCTGTGAAGAATTTCCTGAGATTATTTGAGCCAAACTTTTGACAATTGCCAGGAAGCCAAAACCTCAACGGATTGAGATAATGCTCCTGAGAGTGGCAGTTTTGCACCTTGTTTTATGCATTACATTCAAAAGAGGAGACATAAGTGGGTGACGTGAAATCCATTGGTGATAGATTAGGGAGGTGGGAGAAAGCAGAGCGGGGAAACCTCTGGGACTGGATAAAAGGTAAAATGATGGATATACTTCTTTTAGTTAGATGGGTGCAGGATAGTTAACAGTCAACAATTAATAACAATGAGGGGATTTGTGGTCTCTGCAGAGCAGTGCCTGTGCTTTGAGGGGTCCTGAAAAAGGAAAATTACTTTGACATTCCAACGATATGTTATCATAGATGCAAAAAGACAATAGACAGGCTCAGTAAAGGTAAAGATGGACTTTTGTCAGGGAAGATACCAGCCTAGGACATGACTACCCACCATAAACTGCTTTTCAGTGAAAAGGTTTTAATTTCAGACCATCCTTTGTGGTTATTTTAGGTCTCTGAGTTTGCAGGCCTTCCCTGAGCTTGTCAGGTTTAGCATGTGGCCCCTTTTTGTCCGCACTAATTTGGAACATGGGTGATTTTTTAAAAAAACTTCTTATTTTGAAAAATCTCAAACCTACAGAAAAGTTGCAAGGATAGTAGAATAAACACTTTGGCCATTCACCTAGGCACTCCAGTTGGTAACATTTTACTATATTTGCTTTCTCTTACTCTCCATATCATTATTATTTCTTCCTAACAGTTTGAGTTAGTTGCAAACATCACAGCCCTTCACCCCGAAATACCTCAGGATGTATTTCCTAAAAACAAGGACATGTTCTTATTTACAGTATCATTATATCAAAATCGGGAACTTTGTCATCAATGTGATACTTTTATTTAAACTATACTCTATACTGAAACCTCAACAGTGGTCTAAATGCTTTTTTAAGCAGTCATTCTTTTTCCCGTGGGTGGAAAAATGAGGTTCCTAGGGTGTGGCTTGCGTTCATTTGATCACAAAATCTTCAAAATTCTAAATCCCTCGATTGATTTTAATGTTTCAAAGTGAATTCATTCTCCAAATGTCTTACTCCTCAAATGTGACACCCAGATGAGGTCAGAAATGTTTGTTTAAACTGCGTGTTGTGGCCATGGTAACAGAGTGAGGATCACGAGAACTGTGGAGACCAGATCTCTTGGTAACCATGGGAGCCCACAGCAGACACACAGCCCGAGTTACTGAGGAGCAAGATGCTGCCTTGGGAGGAATGTCCTTCCTTTCATTTGGAGTGGGTTCCTGAGAGCCAGCCTCAAAATGCTGCTCCAGTTCTGCCTGGCTGGTTAGATGGCCAGCTTTTTAAGGAGCATTTGTTTGGCTGAATTTTTTTGAACAAGTAGCAACACTGAAATAGCCTCTGGGGAGACAGATTTTTATAGAGCTACCCAGCCCAGAAGAATTCTGGGAACGTGGGAGTTACTTACTGTCAAACAGATCCAGAGTTGCCTGGAACGAGTTCCCAGGGAATTGTGGCCATTATGAGCTCTGAGAGAAGGGGCAGTGCAGAGTTCACAGTTTTGAGTTCATTAAGTTTCTCACCCCATTGTTAGCTAATTATTAGCACCTTGAGAAATATTAAGGTGCTATGGATTCTGCTAAGCAAAACTATGTGTGCTTGTCAGGATGGACCACGTTATGCTGCGGTAACAAACAGCTCCCAGTCTTCCCTGGCTTACTGGGGGTTATTTCTTGCTTATGCAACATGCCCAACATGGGCTTGTTAGGGGGGCTCTGCTCATTGGAGTCACTTAGGTTTCCAGGGCTGATGAAGGAGCTGCCATGTTAGAACATTGTTATTCAGACACAGGCTCTAGGGTTTGCCGCAACAGAGCAGGAAAGCTTGGCAGAACCGTGCGTCACTCTTAAATGCTTCCACCCAGATGTGACACACATTGCTTATCACGTTCGATGGGCCCAAAAGGTCACATGGCCGCACAACTTCACCAAGGCAGGGAGGTA